TGACGTCAGCCGGAGGTCTGCGCACACACACACAGTAACACACACACACACAGTAACACACACACAGCTCTGTCTGTGTGTTATTAACGGCTGTGTTGTGTGTTCAGAGAAAGCCGTGTTTCGTCCCAGCGACGAGGCCGTCTTCACCACGCTGGGAGTCAACACTCACCTGTTCGCCTGCGAACCCTCCGAACTCGACTCACTGGTGAGGATCTGATTGGTTCATGGCTGTCATTGAAACAAAGGTTACCCAAACATGCACACGTGCACCTGATTCCTGTGCATCCAGCTGCACATGAGGACCTTTCTGCAGAGCTTTAACTTTGCTGCTATCACCTGATGTCTAACCGACCAATCAGGACGCAGTAGCAGCTTGCTGGGGCAAGTCTCTCTCCCTCTCTCACATCTTCTGGGATTCTGATGAGATAATTTCCTGTTTCCTCAGCTTCCTCTTCCTGAGGAGATCCACTGGACGCCGGGCGACAGTAAACTCCACGACATGTCAGCAGAGGAGGTGGCCAATCAGCTGGTGGTGTTCGACTGGGAGCTCTTCAGCTGCGTGCACGAGGTCTGAGTGCGCCGCAGGATTTGAAGGCTGTTCTGTCTCAGTGACGCAGCTTCAGCCCACAAACGAACAAACGCACGTCTTCTTCGTTGGTGTCTCCTGCAGGTGGAGTTTGTGTGTTACGTGTTTCACGGAGAGCAGTCACGCTGGCGCCCCCTGAACCTGGAGCTGGTACTGCAGCGGTGCAGCGAGGTGCAGCACTGGGTCGCCACGGAGATCCTGCAGTGTCAGTCGCTGCCGAAGAGGATCCAGCTGCTCCGCAAGTTCATCAAGATCGCAGCGCTGTGAGTCCACGCACAAACACGCCGCGCACACGCACAAAACTGAGTTAATGAGGGGACTCAGGAGAGGAGCTGCGCCCCCCTGAGATCATGAGGCAGTCCGCTCTTCTTCTTCTGTGGTAGGTTTAAAGATGAGCGTCTTCTTCTGTGTTTCAGCTGTAAGCAGCAGCAGGACCTGCTGTCCTTCCTCGCCGTGGTTCTGGGTCTGGACAACCCGGCCGTCAGCAGGCTGAGGCTCACCTGGGAGGTAGGACGCCGTGTGTTCTCCAGCAGAGGCGTTAGAGCTGTGCAGACCTGAACCGGAGGTTACCACGGTGACCCTGTGGTAACCTCCGGTTGCTTTGGTAACATGTTTCCAGAGCGGCTGGCGAGTGGTTGCTGGGGGTTCTCTGCTGCAACAAAAGCCCCCGTGCAGGTTGCCGCTGTTGCCTGTGCTTTGCACGACGGACTCCAACTTTTCTGCAACTGTTGGCGAAGCGGTGGAAAAGTTGTACCTTCCCACTACAACCAGCAACTTTCACTTCGGTCAGCACTCATTAGGAAACTTTGCAGCGCAGCGCCTTCTGCCTGACCGACTCCCTGCTGTTTGTCCGTATTTCACCCGTTGCGCTGACCGTGTGAAGCACTGATAAATGTGTGTCCATGTGTCCGTCAGTGTCTCACTGCTGTCCTCTCTGTGTGCAGGGTCTGCCGGGGAAGTTCAGGAAGCAGTTTCAGCAGTTTGAAAGCATCGCGGTGAGTCACACGTTTTTATCTCTAATGCTTTCTGACCCGAGTTAGAACAATGACGCTCTGACCGTCACGCTGTCCCACAGGACCCGTCCAGGAACCACAAGTCCTACAGAGACCTGATCACCAGCCTGAGGCCTCCGCTGATCCCCTTCACTCCTCTGCTGCTCAAAGGTGAGCCTGCACGCTGACATCAGCATATTACCAAGCGTGACAGCGGCGTCTGCGGTGCTTCAGTAACGCTGAGGTAACTACTGATGAATCACTACAGGTTTGACTGCAGGATTTAGCTGAATCTATGAAACTGAGGAAAGCTGAAAATCAGGAAGTCAAACCTTCTGGAAGTCTTCCAGTATTCCAGTTCTCAGACTCAGCGCGGACTCCGAGAGATAAAAAGCATTTTTAATGGAAGTGCAGAAACCCCGGAGACGATTTTCTTCTTTAGTGTTCAGGACGTTTGGTTTGTTTCCCTCTGCTGATGAAACCCGCTGCAGCTTTCTCCTGGAATCAGCAGCACGAGGTAAACACACCCAGGTCCACCAGTTCACTCATCGATCGTCCATAAATCGCTCTGATTGGTCTTCTGAGACTCGCACGCCTCCAGCTGTGGACCACAGCGGCTAGCTGCACCTCGCTAATTGGCACCTTTGGCTAATCAGCTCTGTGCTGCTGTTAATCTGCCACACACACACACACACACACACACACACACACACACACACACAGCACACCTGCCTTCCCTAACGTACACAGCTAGTCGATCGACTAGTGTGCAACAGAATCGAGGAGCTTGAAGACAACTACAAGGCGTAAACTACACAAAGCAAAAAAAAGGAAGACCTCGTTGAAAACGGAGACGAACAACTCAGCCCCATCCACCACGGATAGCACGCCAGAAGATTAACTAAGACTCATAGTATCCTACACTCTTGGCGTCCATTGTTGCGCCCACCAAGCTTACACCAGGATACGAACTGAAGCTCCACATAGGTATGTACACTGTACGTGAGCGGACGGACGACGACACACACAGCGCGACACCAACTATCACTACGTGGGGACCCAGCAACCAGGAGACAAGGACGAAACAAGGTTTACCCTCTAGCCCAAACACTCGAGAATAGGAAACTGTTTGGCAAGTCACAACAACAGAGGACTGTTCATTATCACGACGCACTGACACTAACACATCACTAACACACTATTGACACACACAGCACACACAAACAAACACACAAACACAACACAACACACACACACAACACAACACACACACACACACACACACAGACACAACACACACACACAGACACACACAGCAGCACAACACACAACACACACACACAGACACACACACACACACACACACACACACACAGACACCACGACACACACACACCAGCACACACACACACACACACACACACACAACACACACACACACACAGACACACACACACACAGACACAACACACACACGACACACACACGACACACACAGACACACACAGACACACACACACACAGCACACACTCTCTGTGTGTGTGTGTGTGTCTGTGTGTGTGTGTTTTAAGAAGTAAAAAAGTTAAACGAGATGAAAGACAGAAAAACTGGAGCGAGGACGACTTCAGAACCAACGAAGAAGAGGACTCTTTGAAGTGTCTGAACCTGTGTGTGCTGCCTTTAGCTCTCTGTCTCCATGGTAACAGAACCATAGAGATGGAAGTGAAGAGATAAAATCAGGAATCTGGGATTACAGCTGATATTTTTCCCTCGGCGCCCCCCTGTGGTGATGACAGCGCTGCACATTAACACGTGATCGATCGCTTTCTTTGTTTTGGTCGTTTGTTCTTTCATTTTTGTATCTTCCGTTTTATGTTATTTCTTTTGTTTTTCTCTCCTTTGTTAATATGTTGCTTTAAAAACACGTCTCACTGACTGCAGTTCGTTTGATCGTTGTGCGCATCACTGATTCTGTGTGTTTGTGTCCTCGACTCATCGCCGGCTGACGTCTCGTTTTTTCCTGCCAGACTTGACGTTTCTTCACGAGAGCTGCAAAACGTTTCACGGTGAACTCGTCAACTTTGAGAAGATGGTGAGTGGCGTCACGCTCGCACCTGAAAACCAGCTCAGAGTTTAAATGTTCTGATTCAGACACTTTGGGTCGCGGGACGAACAGGATAAACATTTATTGAACGTACTAAAATGAAATGTTTTTGAAGATAAATACGAGTAAAAACAGACGAATATTTTTCCAGAATAAATAAACTGAAACTTTTTAAGATTTTGGTCCAGTCAAAATTAGAGAAGTTAGAAACATGAATGTGCTGCAAAGAACAACTAAATACAATTTGTGTCCTTTTCAGCAGAAGTTAAAATAACAACAAATGAAAACACTGAGTTTTCTTCTGCTTTGGCAACAAGTTCGTTGGTTTGGTGTGAGCTCGTGCGTCGTGCAGATGGTCAGGATGGACCGCAGGTGTTCATCTGTGAGACGACTCCTGTGTTCAGCTTCTCACAGATATGTGCTACCAAACAGGCACCAGGTTCGAGCCGCATGTAGACGGCGCTGTGGCTTCAGGAATGGGGCGAACAAACCGAGCGCCCCGTCACACTGCAGCTGCACGGGTGCAGTTTCCACGTCAACGAGGCGCGAAGCAGCTCCAAATTCTCTTTTTGTGCTTCAAGGTGACCAAAGCGCCGTGCGAACTCACCACAGTGCGCATCTGGGAACAAGGTTGAGCCGACTTGGTTCAACATTACTTGGCTACAGGATATGATGGCGGTTATGGTCGTGATGTAGTTGTCCTCCTGCATCCTGACAATCAGCCTGATTTCACCTCAGTAAGTCACATGATAGGGTGGGGCAGCAACAGGTTCACCTGAAACTTTGGCTGATTGTGACCCACACCTCTTTCCACACCTTGGCTCATGTGATTAGGTTCAACAGTGGGCCCATGACCCTCTTGGGGACTCTCCACCCGTTGCTCTTAGAACCGAAGAAGCTTCTCGGATGAAACTTTTTCAAGGAAACTTAAAGAAGTCCTGACACTTTTCTTTCAGAGCTCCTTAGACTACTCAGGCTTTGCCCTCATCTGTGTTTTGTTGGGCTTATCTGTAACCATGTACTTGTACCATGAAAGGCTCTGATGTCAGAATCAACATTTCTCCAGTGGGAGGGGCTAGCTTCACAGTAACTTTACAGTAGGGTTGTACATCAACAGAAGCTTGACTTGACGTTCCCAGGTAGCCTAGCGCTGGGCGAGCATAGTGAAGTGCTGCATTATCAGTTCTGTAGTTTGTGTGTTTCAGCGTTTCATATCGCCGGGACGTGAATAACAATAATAATAAATCTATAAGCAATGATCTCGCGGGCCGGACATAAATGTACGCCGGGCTGGATGTGGCCCGCTCGCCTCGAGTTTGATACATATGCTTGAAGTTGTTTGCTGTGATGAAGAGGAAATAACAGTTACAGCCGCTGCAATTCTTCTTCACTCAAACACTCTCACTTCCTGTTTGCCAGCCTGAAACAGCCAGTCCCGTAGACTCTGTGTTAAAATAAATACGTTAACATGCTGATACTCTCAGCAGACCCCACAGTGTCCACACTGCATCACACTGCAGGCATCCATTAATCACAGACAGGAACTGACTCCTCCCCCTCTGTCTGCAGCACAAAGTGGCCGAGATGGTGAGGAACATCAGACGATACAGGAGCAGCCAGCTAGGTAACACGCACACACACACACACACACCCACACACACACAGTAAAGTTACAAATAGAATAAAGTAAAAGCAGGAAGTCTGCAGCTCTGTGGGGTTCGTCTCCCCCTGGTGGCAGCTTTATCACACTGCAGCCCTGCATCACTAACAGCTGTTTCTTTCTTTTTTTTCTGGTAGCCATAGATACGGAGATGTCTCCCTCCCACCTGCAGACCAAGGCCTACGTGCGGCAGCTGCAGGTGATCGACAACCAGAACCTGCTGTTCGACATGTCTTGCAAGCTGGAGCCCAAAGACACATAGAGGGAGGAAGGTGGAGGAGGAGGAGGAGCTGAGGACGTCAGAGGGAGAGGAAGACAGGACGCCAAGCCTGGACGCTTCAGTCCTCCTCCTCCTCCTCAAACAACACTACAGAGGACTCGAGCTGCGGGTCCAGACTTCACGTTCGTTTACACCCTCAGAGGAGTTCTGCTGGGACCCTTCCAGGGACCGGCAGTCCTTGCTCTGCACTCAGAGGCCATTTACCCCTAAAAAGTGGGAATTCTCATTCACAGGAACGTTCAGGAAGCTTTCAGGACTGAAAGGATTTGGAAAACGATTAAAAGTAAAAATAAAGAAAAAGCAGATCTCGCGAGACGAGTATTCGTGAGCCCAGACCATCCAGAACCTGAAGCCTAAACCCAACAACTGTCCTGCATCAGCACGACACTTTGAAGCTGGAGCTGCAGTCAGTCATTTCAAAGCCCAAACACCAAAATTCAAACCTCAGTTTATCTGTTTAGTGGACGTCCGAGCGCCGCGGCACGAAACCCCCGAGTGCTCATCGAGCCAAACATTTAAATGTGAAATCAAATCAGAGTAACCTGTAAATCAGAAAGCGCTGAAACCATACGTGGAGAGAGAAACTCCAAACACGAGTCGGGACTGAATGCTCTCCGACTCCAGGCTCCGCCTCCTGCTTTTCCTCCTGTGGCACTCGACCACTCAGATTGCAGACAATCTGACGGCTGACCTTCAGCCGCTGTGAGCGCCTAAGACGGCGAGAGTAAAGACGTTCCAGGTCTCAGAGCGCCTCGACCACGTGAAATGAGCAGAAGTGTGGAGCTGACAATGGCGGCGCTTCTTTAACAGCCATCTTGGATTCTTCAGCTCTGAGATCCACGAGCGTCCACAGGCTGAGGAGCAGCTGCAGGTGTGGACCCGGTGAAACCGGAGCAGCTCTCCTGCAGGTGGAACTGGTCCAGTTTTCCAAACTCCCGCATACGAGTTTGGATCTCGTGCATTTCATCGAGTTTTCTGTCAAAGTCAGCCACTTTCTCTCACATCAGAGCTTTCCAGAACATTCCTGAACACACCGGACTCTGATGATGCATTCACTGACCATGTCAGACACACCACGGACACTGTGTGAGGTCATCGCGGTGCGTTCGAGGACGTGTAGATGCTGGTTTTCTACCGTACGACTCCGGAGAGCTCCTTGTTGTTTCTGTTTCAGGACTTTGATGAAGGTCAGCGCCCGTCAGCTTTTACAGGACCACGCCCGTGTTTTTAAACCTCTCGGCTGTCGCTCAGCTGAACGTGGGAATGGGGTCTGTTTCAGGTTCAGTTCTGTTCACTCTGAGGCTCTTATACTGAAAGGGTTTCTAGCGGCTACAGTCTGATCTGAGAGCAGATGAAATGAACCAGTAAAACCAGTGTGTTTTGAGCAGTGCAGACAGGTCAAAGTCCAAATCTGTAATCAGGCTGAGGTGCAGACAAAGTAGAGACATGAGGAAAACCTGAGGAATAAAAGCAGCAGGAAATAAAACAGAAGTGACTGCGACACTTAAAGATGAGCGGCTCTTACAAAGGTCGTGTTCCAGTGACGCTCGAGGAGCAACCACAGTGTTTGTCCTCATGCTGCTTTATGACCGACGTCTTTTCGTGTCATTAATTCAGATTTTCAGTCGTTGTGATGTAAAAAGGAGGTTTGAGCCTGTTCGTGACGCTTAACTGCGAAACTTCAGTGAAGTGTGAAGTTGCACATCAAACTAACAATCCTCTGATTCTCTGAACAAAAGTGATTCACACCGATCGATGGAAGGTTTTAGGGTTAAAATACTTCAAGCATCATTAAATCTTGAATAATTCATCTCGCATTAATCGAGCGGTCTTGGCGGCTCTGGCGCAACGTCGCGCTTCGTGGTGATTTCTCAGTGTGTGGCGGCGTTTTGTCCGGTTAAACTGAGGATAGGTCCCACCGGTGACCGGAGCGCTCTTACGACGATTAACAGTGTGCGTCACAAACCTGCGTCCACACCAGGTTCACTCACTAGCCGCAGGTTTTACTTATCTTTGGGCGAGCTGATTCTGGCCCTCGGGCCGTATGTTTGACACCGTGCTGTAAAACCTGAAGTTGGTACGATGCTCGGAGTTGATCAGGTTCTTTCTCTCTACCCAGAATGCACCTCTCCTCTGAGGGTCGGGAATCCTTCGAGCTGAAGGAAAACACGGGTCTGGTCCTTTAAGAACGCTGCTGGTCGTTGGCTGATTGGACTGATGATCACGTGACAGCCGATCGGCTGCGCTCATGCCGAAGTCACGGACAGAGAGAAGTGGGCGGAAACACTTCTTCGCTCAACGCTTGGATCTAACTGCTGTCACACCGACCAACCAATCGGTTTTAAGGAAGGACCCCTGACCGCCCCCGCCCCCACAGAGCTGCCCTCCCTTCGGTTGACTCGGCGCATCGGGGTGGTCGGGGTCCACGGCAATAAGAGTAGTGGCGGGAAGCGAAGCCGGTCGGTCAGCGCATGGCGTCAACGAAGCACTTTGGCGAACCTCAGGGCTCAGAGACACACAGAGGTTTTGTTTACTCCTTTTCTTGCTTTCAGTAGAGTTCAGTTCAGTTGTGTTGCAATTGGTTGGTTCTGTGTTTGTACAGCTGATCACACTTCGGTCATATTTACTCCAACAATAATAATAATAATAATAATAATAGAATCTACAGAGCTGTTGTTTTTATGCTGTGAGCACCGCCAGGCCTGAGCGCAGACGTCAAAGAGCCGCTCACCTGACAGCAAAGAAGAAGAAAGTCAGTCTGAAGTCCTTCTGCTCGATTTTTAATGGCCTGCGGGTCAGGTGGTACAGAAGGTTAGACCCTGGACAGGTTAGACCCTGGACAGGTTAGACCCTGGACAGGTTAGACCCTGGACAGGTTAGACCCTGGACAGGTTAGACCCTGGACAGGTTAGACCCTGGACAGGTGTGGCAGAGAGCTGACGTCGCTCAGCTGGTTCGGCTACTCCATCGTATACCGCCCGCCGCTCTTTGCCCACAGAGTGAATGTCCTACGTGTCCTCTGTGGGCCTCCGTAGGCGGGCTGTCCGAAGCACACCTTGCCGACCGTGACCTGCTTCACCACAGTGTGGCGCTGTCATGTTTCGGAGTGGTTTTTTTTCTGGGGTCAGGACTGATGTGTGCAGGAAAAAACCTGCACAAGGTTTTAGGAGTCGAGACAAAAGGACAAAAGGCTGCCGCCTTCTTCTTTCTTCAGTTCACGTCGAGTTTTTAAAAAATCTGATTCCCAGGAAAAGACTTCCAGACGTCCGTGCTCGCGTCTCTCGGCCGAATCCTCGATTGTGAGGACAGTCTCAGTGATCTGAGGCGTGTCTCATTTTGCCTCTGTCTCCTTTTTCTGATCCGGACACTTTTTGTTGCTTTCCCTTATCGCCTGGACCCTTTCAGGGGACCGTAACAAAATCATCAAGTTCACAGCATCCTTCAGTCTGAACAGAAGGTTGTTGGAGATGGAAGACGTTCGGGAGCTGGAAGTCTTTTCCTGCTGCGTCATCACGTTTTTCTTTGACTCGGTCTGATGAGCCCGATCTCTTTGTTGGACTGAAGCTTCGCTGCGTCAGGGCGGCTCAGCTGAAAACGTGTAAATGGTTTGAAAACGTTCTTTGTGCTCAGCTCTGGTGGTCAGTGAGACTTCTTCATTCTCCATCTGTACCATAACATCCTGTTTATGAAAGCGAGGCCGGTCCCGTCCAGAAACGAGTCCTCAGCACAGCCCAGAGCTGCTCGTACCTCTGTGAGTCCCCTTCACTTAAACCGGGCTTTTGGGAAGAACCTGGTGGTTTAAGCACTGAGTAAAGCCTCATTTTCACTCGTCAAATTGAGGCTTTTAGTCCCAGCTTGACCGTGCAGGTTACTTGATTCTGGACCGGACGAGAGCTTCAAAACGTCTTCAGCTCAACAAGACCTTTTATCCGATATGGAGCTCCGAGGAATGCAAGTTTGAATTTTCAGGAACACGTTTGTGTTTCCCAAACAATGAGACAGAAATCCAGATTGAAGACTTCAAAAAGTTAATTTGAGGTTTAAGTCAAACTCTGAATTTCACTATTTGAGAGATAAAAATTTTACAAGGAGTCCAAATGTCCAACAGCAAACCCAAGAAAGCAAGTCTGACTAAAGCTTCAGTGCTTTTTCATGGCTTCAGTAAAGGCATAAACGACAGGAGTTGAGGTGGCCTGCAAAGTGGCTTGCAGATTTGCAGAAACTACTGGTCACTGTAGGAGAACAGGCGGTGTGCTGGGATAGCTATCTGAGCCTGAACGTTATATTCAGTCGTTCTCACTCGTCAGAAATCAGAGCCAGACAAAGTTCGCAGGTTTGTTTCAGTTCCCCAGAAAACAAGTTTTAAATTCAAATACTCAAATTAGAAATTCAAGTAGAACCTAAACGCTGCCGTTTGAGTCTCAACTTCCAAGAAAATGAGTTTTAAACTGAAGAAATTTGAAGTTCAATGGATGATGACTCCAAATTCGCAAGTGTGCTCTCTCAGTCTCGAATCCCAACAGCAACACGTTCAACGTTTGAACTATAAAATGTTCCCAAAAATCGGAGGTCCAGAGCAGCTCCCTGTGATTTGCGTTGTTCCCTCCAGAGTTGAAGAACTCTTTATTTGATATTAAAGGTCTTGTCGAGGCGGCGACGTTAGCGGCGGTTTTGGCGGGTACAAAGTGTGAAACCCAGCGAAGATTACTATTAGATCATCACTAGTCTGCCGGTGGCTCTCTCAGGACCACTTCCTGGGTGTCAGGCGCTCTATCGTGGATCCCACCGTCATCCCCGGCAGAAACGGATGTCCCGAATCTCGACTCTACCCTGATTTAAGCAAACCTCATCTCGCACATTTCCGATCTCACAACCTCCTGCGGCAAACCTTCCTGTTTCACTGACCAATCACGGTTTCTGCCTGCACTTCGCTGGGATCCATGATTCTGGAAGGCGGGCGGCCTCTTGGGTCGAGGCCGTCTATGCTGTCGCCTGAACAAAAACACTGAAAAAATTAAAGTGTACATATTGCATCCGTGTAAATAGGAAAATACTAACGGAGACTATATTTTATGTATGAGCGGAGAGAGAGCAGCACTAACTCAAGGAGAAACTTTAATTTGGTGTTTTCTATTTGTAAAAGTGAGATAAAGTGTAAAGTGATGACAGAAAGAAATGATTCTGACTTTATGAATTGTACAGTTAACGCCTCAGTTTGACCGTTCTGTTGTTTTCTATCTAAAGCTTTGGGTTCTTTTTGTTTCTTCTTTTTTTGTACATAAGTGGTTGTTTACATCGATAACAAGTCCTTATTTCTGTGACGTCAGACAGACGATGTCAGTGGAGCAGAGGTCTGATGGGGGCGGGGCTCGGAGGGATGGCATCGTAACACAAAACACTCAAAGATTTTCATGTATGGTTAAACAGCACTTTAATAATAATATAAAAATAATAAAATATGACATTTGCAGTTTTACAGGAAAAAATGTAATCGTTAGATTTTATTTTAGATTTCCAGAAATAAGAGAACAACAATAAAAAGAATTTGATTTCAAGAATGAAGTTTTTCTGTTACAACTGTCTCTGATCGTTTTAAAAAGTCAATGTCACATGAAGTTTGTATAATAAGAAACATTATTAATATTATAAATATTAATTTGTGGAACTTCTGAGAATAGGTTGAAAGTGTCTAAGATTTTCTCAGGGTTCAATATCATGAGATAAATAAATGAACTTTATCACATTACATGAAAAAAGTCATTTTAAAAAAGTTTTATTACACAAAGTAATTTTAAGCTGAAAATTAGCTTTCATTTTTTGTGAGTTTTATAATTATCATAACTAATAATTATGCAATTTAATGATTTAAAACGTCACGTTCTAATACAGTGGTCCCTCGCTGTAACGCAGTTCACCCGTCGCTGCTTTGTTTCTCTTCTTCTTTTACAGCACCTTCTGTGTCCTGATTGGCTGTAGACCACTGCCAATCACTCTCCTCCGTGCCGTGTCTCCTGTACAGGGTTCAGCTTGTCACATTTACATAGATCTTCAGTCCCAGCAGTGTGACTCTGCGGTGCTGTACTGTATGTTTGTTTTCTCCCCAACAAACACAAAGGCTCCTGCGCGAGCACCCAGAAGGCAGCGAAGATGCTAACCATCGGACAAAAAGTTGGACTTCTGGACAGGCTAAAGGACGGTGGAAGTTACCGTATTTTTCTGATTATAAGGCGCATTAAGCGAAACAAAACAGTCAGAAAAGTCAAACTTTACTCAACTCGTTCTTGCTTCCTCCACTTCCGTACTATTGATTCATTAATGCTGATTCTGTGGCAGCTGCTCTGTTCCTGTTTTCTGGACCTGAAAAGAGGCTTTGAAAACATTCTGGAATGCTGGACTTATTTTTCTACAAAGGTTTGAACTTTCAGAGTGTTTAAACAAGAGAAAAGTGTGAAAAGTTGGCTACTTAGAACGTAACTCCTGCGATAAACGAGGGACGACTGTATTACAAAACTGTGACTCTGTTCTTGAAATAATTTGTGTACAATTGTACAAAGAGAAGCGTCAGACTGGACGGACGTTTCACAGCGAAATTACAGTCCATCCATCCATTCGCTTCCGCTTATCCTTTTCAGGGTCGCGGGGGGCGCTGGAGCCTATCCCAGCTGTCATAGGGCGAAAGGCGGGGTACACCCTGGACAGGTCGCCAGTCTGTCGCAGGGCTCGAAATTACAGTTTTATTTGTAATTTTTAAATTCATTGTATTACATTATCATGGTACAGGAGTCGTTCAAGAGCAAGTTTCAAATTTTTAAAATATATTAAGTAAAAAGCTGAACCATTAAAAAAAATTACAACTCACAGCTTCCACACTGTTGTGAAAATATGTTTTTAATTGTATATCATTGAATTAAGCTCATAATTATTAATGTTACGGTTCAGGTTGTTCTCGTTACTGTTTCCTATAATTACAACATTACACATACGAACTCACTCTCTCTTCTTGGTTGAACCTTTTGTCATATTTGTTCCATAAAATGAAAACACTCAGATTATTTGTATTACTGCACTTTATCTCGAGATGTTTAATTGTTACACATCAAATGTTAAAGCAGAGAGAAAACGAGCGTAGAGAGGCTGTGGATAATTCTGCTGATTGGAGAGCTATTGATTAGGCAGCTCTGAGGGGAGGGTTGAAAGTAAAGCCAACCAGCGAGAGGCCCCGCCTCCCACAGACCTGCTGTCACACTACAGACACTGAAATAAAACCTCTGGACAACAACACAAAGCCTCGTCACTTCCTGTTGGTGTTCTTGTATTAGTCATTAGTCCTCGGTGAGGTCTCTGTGAGCCTCAGCTCAGCTGATTAATGATTGCAGCTAATATAAAATTATAGAGACAGACGTGTTATCGTGTGAGGAACAGTATTCTGTTTGGTTTTGTAACAGGACACTGAACATCCACAGGGTGGAATATGATGTCGGCCCACCGTGTGCAGCTGGACGTCTCCTGGAAGGATTTCCTCAGGTTCAGGAGTGTTTATGGGGAGTGTTGATCATCCTTCCAGAAGCACATGTGTGAGGTCACACTGGTGTTGGAGGAGAAGGCCTGGCTCACAGTCTCCGCTCTGATTGGTCCCAAAGGTGTTGGATCAGGCTGAGGTCAGGACTCTGTGCAGGCCGGTCCTCCCGCACCAAACCGGCTCGTCCGTGTCCTTATGGACTTTTCTTTGTGCACTGGTGTGCAGTCATGTGGGAACTGGAAGGAGCCATCCCCACACTGGTCCCACGTACTGGGAACACGAAGGTGTCCGCAGTGTCTCGGTCTGCTGAAGCACGGAGACTCCTGAAGAACACCCCACACCATAACCCCCCTCTACCAAACTTTACACAGCGCAGTCAGACAAGTACCGTTGTCCCGGCAACCCCCAAACCCAGACTCGTTCGTCCATTGCCAGATGGAGAAGCGTGATCGGTCAGTCCGGCGAACACGCTGACACTGCTCTAGAGTCCAGTAGTGGCGTGGTTTACACCACTGCATTAAACACTTGATGATGTAAGGCTTGGATGCAGCTGGTCACCATGGAAACTCAAAACTTGTTGAGCTCATCTGAAGGCCATGTGACGTTCGGAGGTCTGTATCTGTTGGCTCTGCAGAGCCTACGACAGCAGCACGCTGGACCAAGCTGAGCTCCTGAGAAGCAGTCTGCATGCTAGATGCTCGAGTTTATACACCTGTGACCATGCAGGTAAATGATACACCTGAATGCAATGATTTGGATGGGAGAGTGAATTTTTAGACAATATGGTGTCTGTCCAGATGTTCAGAGTGAAAGCTGTGCAAAATAATTATTACAAATTCTGCCATAACCAGTGCCCTCACAGTAAACCTTCACTGAAACAGCGCAGATCACTCGTTAATGTTTACTGTCTGCCTTTCAGTGAAAAAATAAAAAATACTCGGAATAAATGGTACAAAGTCATCAGCTTCTTCCTGCAGCATCCTGTACATTGCTGCCATCTCGTGGCTGCAGTTTGTTACTGTCTCTGAGCTGCTGGGAAACCTGAGCCTTGTAGATGATCCTGGTCTGGATGGAAACCAGCATGATAGGCCAGCTCCATCCTGTCACCCACACACGGTCGGAGGAGCTTGGAAAGAAGTGATTGGACGTCTTCAGTATGGTTTCACCTCTGATGAGAGGTCTGCTCAAAACTTCAAAAAGCTCGGTCACTTTCTTTCCGAGCTGCTTAGACTAGCATGACCACAGCCGACACAGCACCTTTGTTTTTATATGTCGAATCCCTTCATGGTATTGATCGAGACCCATGCTGCACAAGGCTTTTAATTCAGATGATTTTTTATTCTTTTATAAATATTAAATTGAGGTGTAAGTTTCTGTTTCTGGCCTCACAGAGCACCAGCACCAGCACAGGATTTCAGAGAATATGACTTATTAGTGTAGAATAACCTCAAATGTCTGCAGTAGTAATACTACATTAATTATTATTGAAATACATATTTCTACTTATTTCTTACTTACTGAAGTATATTCAGTGTTTTTTTGCTGCTTCTTTGTTTTTGTTTTTTAAGTTGCACCGCATGCATATGAATACGGTGTCCTGGTTTTCTGATTAGCAACGATCACCTGACATTGAGCAGGTAACAGCTGGTTGAACAGCCACACTGATCATTTTACTGCAGCTGAAGGAATCTGGAGCGTTTTTAACTCTCAGGTCAGCCTGCCCTCTGGGGAAGATTTGAACCTGAAGTTAAGACAGACAGCAGTCCTGTGGGGATAGTGGGACTCTGTAGGTCAGTGAAAGCAAAGAAGAGGTCTCACAGCTGTGGCTCTGCAGCTCCAAGTCCATCACAGTATAAGAGCATTAGCAGGTGGAGTGTGTGCGTGATCAGGGGGTGTGTGTTTTCATTTCAGCTGATAGGATCCCTTTGTCCCCTCCTCAGGACTGTTGACCCGACCGCGTGCCCCTTGGGAGGAGGGTGATTTCCATCCCTGATTAGGATAAGGTTTATATTTAGGGTCAAATTGGGGGAAGGGTGAAGGTTGGAGCTTTGGATTAAAGACTCGTACAGAAGCGAGTGCGATTTCAGTTGTTATATAACAATCGCCCTCCCTTATGTAAGAATCGCACCTCTTCAACTTACAGAGCAGCAACGGAAAACAGCGTCGAGGAAAGGATAAAAGGAAACGGTATTATTACGAGTTCACAGATTTCTAACAGTCAGCATCCGGGGCTGCAGTTCCTTTAATGACCAGCAGAGGCTCCAGCAGTGAATGAACAGCACGGTTTATTCAATAAGACTTGACTTGTACGATCTACTGCAATATCAAGCGCCTTGAGCCAACTGTTGTTCTGATTTGGAGCTGTATAAATAAAACTGAAAAATTGAAATCAGACAAGACAGAGACAGAAAAGTGTTCAAGGAGCTCAGAGATCAGAAGGTTCAACACAGGCAGAAACAACAAACCCTAGATAACAGATCCCAGCGGGGATTTCAGCAAAGATGACGGTTAATGACGTGCAGCGCTGGCATTCAAGCACCTGGGAAGTGGGAAAAAAAGAGCTCAGTGCATCATGGGAATGCCCCAGCAGCCTACTGCGGTGTAACTCAGGGAGGATTCAGCCCTAACTGTGGGCTTCAGCAAAAAGGAAAGGCTGATCTTAGAAGCAGATGTCTGTCTGCTGAATCCAGACTGGGAGCTGGTTCCAGTCTGTGATGTGCTCGTTACATAAAACAAGTATAAATGAATTTAAAATGCTGCAGCTGCTTTAACCCTGACACACACCAAGAAGAGAGAGCACATTACTCTGATTCTCAGCTCCTTCCACTCACGTCCTGCTAAATATAGAGAAAAATGCAATGCCCCACTTTTTGTCTCTAAGTCTCTCGATGGTATGGGCCCAAAATATATCAGGGGTATGACTGCTGAGCTGGGTAGGTGTCTCAGATCCTCAGGGTCGGGTCAGCTTGTGGTGCGCAGAGTTCAAGCCAAACATGGTGAAATGGCTTTTAGCCATTAAACTGCTGCTGCTTGAATCAGCTCCACAGTCAGCACCGCTAACCTGAACATAACATATTTATGTTTATGTATTTATGTCAACATCTTTCTCTCTGCGTTTGTAACTGAGCCTCTGCTTGATGATCTACAATCACTGTTTGATGATTTTAGAGATAAAACTGTTAAATGTGCATGAAGACATTTTGTAGTTGCACACAATAAGATATTTTTAACCCCCCAAAAAGTGAATAAAGGAGGTCTTTTAAAGTGGAGAGTTTTTATTAAAGTTTGCAGTTTTAGAAGAATGTTTGCTGTTTGAGGACATTTTGGATGGTTATGGAAAAGACACAGGTCCCCACAAAGACAGGTAAACAAAAACACATACACACATAAATATCTGTCAACAACTGACACAGATTTGGACCCACTGTGCACACACACGCACACACACACACGTACGCACGCACGCACACGCACACGCACACACACACACACACACATATATATATTTCTGGAGCCCCTCCCCCGCGGAGAAGCCTTTATATAGAGCCGCTCTGTGGTGTTGTGGCCTTGGTGATCACATCCCCGCCGCCAGCAGATCGTCTCCACAAGTTCTTCTCCCATCCCAGAACCAAGGTAGCTATCAAACACAGACGCACACGTATGCAGCAGATCACATTTTTATTTGATGAGCAACTTTCTCCTAATATTAAAAAGATGTTTTACAAAACATTTTCAAACTCATACATTTGAGTTTTGGTATAAAATCAGTCAAAATATAAAATTTAAGCTTCCAGTTAAAATCTGATCCGCACAGAAACTTTACAGCTGATAAAAATAATCCACTTTTATATGATATCTGCGCCTTCACAGACTAAATATGATAAAATTATGTAGTGACATCGTGTGTGGGATTCTCGTTTTGTTGGCTTCTTTTTGAAATGACTTCAGTCTTGCAAAACTGTGTAACTTTGCAGCCCGCTGCACTCTTGGTGTCACAGCTCTGCTAATGTGATATGAAGGTGCAATTAAAAACCAAAAAGTAATGGAATCAAATCAATGCTACTATAACTCGATTTTTTTTTAACTGGAACTTTCCAAACATGCCCACCGGGGACAGAACTTACAGAGTGTCTTTGACTTTAAACATAATGCTCTCCTCTGCCTCATATTATTCCCACAGGCAGAGAGACCACATCAGACAGATTTATGGTCAGCTGTTAGAAACTAGTGAATTTCTAACAGTAAAGTTTGAACTTGTCTTAAAAATGTTCAGTTTAATGAACTCAGTTTAGGGAAAACATGTCAAAGGAATAATGAATGTTTTAAAAATGTTTATTATGTCGCAAGTCTGCAGCAGAAATCTGCAGTTTAAATCTGGCAAAAAATGAAGCGTTAAATTGGTGATGTAGGAGCAGCAAATGTTTTTTCTCTGACCGTCTCTTCAGCTGTTTCCTTGTGCACGAACGAGCTGCGAAATCAGTGTTTCACAAACCAAAAACACATTTTTTCATCAGAATTCTTGTTTTTAGTTTGACGGGCCTGTTGGAGGTTTTTGTAAATTTTCAGCAAATAAAATAATTCCTGCATATGGAGGCTGAACTTTTAAAACCTCAGAGCACATTACAATCATGACATCTTTAAAGCTGAAATTTTAGCCTCAGAGCTGTCAGATATCAGGGTCTCACTTAGTTCACTGAAATCTCAGATTATCGTGGCCAAGTTTGTGCAGACAAGGACTATTTTTAAATATGCATATATGC